GGGTAAGTTTCTCTAGATTACAGAAGGTTTCATATAAAAGGTTGGCTTTGACTGTAACTCAGGGCAGTTACAAAGTTGCAAGATCTAAAAGCATCTAAGAATTTCAGGCAGAAGGGAATGTCTAGAGAGGAACTAGCGAAGAGCTGACCCAATTAAGGAATTCAAAAGATTTCCTACTGCCAGTAAACCAACAACAAGCCAGCAAGCAGGAAGGCTATTTTTATCCCTGCCAGAGGCCTTCTGACTCTGGATGCTACATTTAGAGGACAGAACAACAAGATAACTTGCCTTAAGAGGATGTTATGATACCAGTGATTAATGGCAATTTTTTAAGCTTAAAAAACGAGGCATAGTTTTTGTCCAAATTTAAACAAAAGCCAGTCTTAAAAAAAGAATAATATAATGGAAAGAAAAGTGGAAAAATAGACCAACGGGTAGTAGAAAAGTTTTAAGTAATCTAGAAAAAAGTCAAGACAGTAATTTAAAATTCTCCTACCTTGCAAAAAAGGTTGAATAAAAAAGGCATGTGTTACAAGAGACACATTTGAAAAGAACCAGTGAATAAACATAAAGAGTTGTAGATCTGGCCCCAAGGTAAAAAATGATTATGAGAAATGGCTCTCTGTACTGACATGAACATAAAAGATCAAGACAAACCTAGGAAATCTCTAGGGACCATAAGCCAAGATACCTGCAAAAGATTGAGAACTTTAGAGAGAAGAGTGATAAACTGCTCTTAAAGCTGGTTACTGAAGTCCAACCCCCAAAAAGCAATCAGTAAAGTCATTAGTTGGCTTTCTGCATACATACCTATCATTAATTCTAATCACTTATTTAATACAAATTCTGATGACTTTATTGAACTTTAATGAAGAATGTGCTTGAATTTTCATACCTGTTATAATTTCACCTTTTGCTATTTCTCAGAAGGCCCTAGTTTCTATTTTCTCCTATCTATATTCAAGGCAGAGTCTTCCTCTTACTTACTAGCCTTCAAAACTAAATAATAAACAAGCCGTTCAAAAATATCTGCTAATTATTTGAAGGATAAGGTGCACGAGGCCGGGAGTCTTTGTTTTTATTCCCTGATATATCCCAACAGCCTAAAATAGTGTCTGGCACATGGTTGATTCTTGATATGTATTTGCTGTATGAATGGCCTGCCATCGCTTTATATCAAAGTGGTTCACAAAGGGAGTGAAGATGGGGGTGGGGCAGGAGAGCAGTGTATTTGAATCATTTGGAGAATACACATGCTTAAGTCTCATGATAGACCTGGTGAATCAGAATCAGGGAAAAGAATAAGCCAGTTGGGAAAAGTTCCCTCAATGATTCTATTTTGACCTCCACCCCCAAAATGTACCCTTCAATAAGAAACCAGCAGATGTGAGATCTGAGTTTTTTACAGACTATGATAAAATACAGATCTTAAATTCTATGTCCAGTCTCCTAAGCAGAAATTAAGAAACTTTTAATGCCTACTCTCTGTCTAAAGCATACTGGGAAAAAAAAAAAAAAAGTTTAAGTTCTTTTTATGTGTGTTTCCTTCTTAAATGCTACACAATAAATATCCAAGCAACTGAACCAGGAGTCAGAAGCTGTGTGCTCCTGTCTTGACCCTCTAGGTACCAGTTAGTTGAGTGACTATAGAAGCTGTTGTGTCTTTCTGAACTTCAATTTCTCCAGCTGTAAAATGGAGATCACAAAACTCACATAAAAGGTTATTGTAAGGATTTAAGTTATATAAATCTCAGAAGGGGCACAAAGTAAAAGTCAGAGAAATAGTATCAGAAGTAAGTGCTTTTTTACTTGGAACTGGTTGTTAACACTGCTTCCTATACAGAATGTCCAGGTCTATCTCAAAAAAGAAAAATGTAGACTGGTACCGAATGTGTCCTTTGATCTACTACTACCTGGTACCTAGAGTGTGCTCAAATATTTGTGGAACTGGAATATAAGCAGGAGCTAAAATGTAAGATACTTCCAAATCATGTGTTAGGGGGAGCTGTCTCCCCCTAACACCCAACTCCAAGGTGCATTCCTCTTGTCATATGGCTCCCCCTGTACCTTAGCATCGTGCCAGATGCAGCCTAAACATCCCACACTCTTAGCCCTGCCTCACAGGGCAAACAGACGGTTTCAGAAGTCAGAGACAAAGTTCCAAAATGCTATTTGATGGAGATAATAATCTAGGATAGGGCAAGTGACCTCCTCCCTCTTCTGTCTTCATCCTCACCATTTCCTCTACTAAATTCCTTCTTATGCTGTGTTCTTATTGGTAATGGGCAGTTTAAAGCAGAACAATTAGATAAGTTCTCTAGAGCAGTATTTCCTAAACTTCTGTATTTAAGACTAATCAAAATATTTCAGAGAGCCTCCCCACCATGCTAAAACTGAGGTCCCCAACCCCCACTCCAGTGAATACTACAAGTAAAACAATGACAAACAACCTTAATACAAGGCTTCTGTAAATTTAGCAACACCTTTAAATGTATTTTAATTGCATTACATCAGCATCCACATGGTTTTGAAAAATAATCCTACATATGTAAATGAATCTATCACATAACTGGAATGCTTAGTCCTAATGGATTCACAGGCCCCATCAAATAATTCCCATGGGTGAAGAGGCCTGTGGTCCACACATTGAGAACAAAAACATTCCATGAGGCCAAGTTTAAACAACTGCTTCTTAAAACATATTTTTAGGCCTATCTCAAAAAGAAAAGATGCTGTCTAAAAACAAGCCTTCATTCAACTGGCTACATTTGACTGATTTCTGGTATACCCTTTCTATAACCACTCAATATTAAATACTGCTACACACAAACTCACATGAAATTCATACACTACTTTTAGTCATTAAACTACAAAAACCTTCAATTTTGTCCCTCAGGAATACCAGGTCAGAGAGACTGCATGGAATTGCTACTAGTAATTTAAATGTCATGATGTTTGTCCTTCCATTACCAGGTGAGGAAACCAAGATCTAGAGAGAAGTGATGGACCGAAGGCCATATAACTGCTAATGGCAGAGCCAGGCTCAAACACAATCCTAAATGCTTCTCTTTTTACCTCTTACAATTTGGGAAAGTCTGTTATAAGCTAACAACTACTGATCATTTACAACAAAGAGACTGAGTGGCTAATTTAAATATCTGTATTTAATTAACCATACCAGGCACTTATTATTTGGAATATTAGAGCTAGTAGAAGTTAGATTTTTTTTTAAGTTCTTTATACTTCAATTAATCATGGCTACTCTTCAGAATTAAGATTTGCACTTATTGTTGGTTTCTTGAGAATTAAAAAAGGGTCCTCTAATTGGTTGATTCCTCCTTCTCTTTCCCAATGTATAGCAACTGGCACCAGCCCAACTGGATTCCAAAGAGATTATAGAACTGCTTTCCCTTCAGAGTTCCACTAATGTTCTTAATTGACTGGTTACCAGGTAATACCCGGAATAAAACAAAGCCTTGCTTTTAGAACAGAGTGCATGGCGTGGGACTGAATTCAGGATCAGTCAGTTAGACAAAATAATGAAGCCCAGAGGCAGCTGACCATTTCAGTACCTGACTGAAAAAAGTAGTAACTATTCAAAATTAGGTAAAAAGTAGTCCTTTTGCTGCATATTTTTACTGCTGAACAACAACAAATTCACTGAGTTTTTGCTCTTTTCCATCTTTTAACTTTAGTAGTGAGGACAGTGGCAACATGAGGGGAAAAAAATATCCTTATTTTTTTCTCTATTGGGGTAGAGAAATTCACCATATGAGGCATACATAGGTGATAAATGAATCAACTGCATACAATATTCAGGTAGAAATTCCACGCATATCAAGGAAGAAATAATTTTGTGGCACAACCTTGCAACGGTTCTGTCCTTCCTGTTACTAAACTGAATGCAAAGAGAATCTTGGGTATTTTTATGACAGCTATGAATCAGGTGGTATTGCTTCCCTCCCTCAAAGTCAGCAAATTACATTCAAGGATTATATAACAGGATCAAGGAAAGTCTTAAGACCTTCACAGACAGCTCGCTATTGTATTACTCCATTATCAAAAGAGCTTTCATTATGCAGATATTAGTATACAGGGCTGGTTTAGTCACAAAATGAGAGAGCAAGTCACTTCTCCATAGAATTTTATAATTCAGAAGGGGAAAACAGAAAAATAGTAAGTGACAGTACCAAAAAGTACACTTCTATTATTAAATTGGATGCAGAGCAGCAACAAAATGGATCTCTATAAATACTCTGGACCTCCTTCTACGATGTTTATAGTGTAGAGAGGTCCCTAATATTTAACACTGACAAATTGCTGACAACATCTGAAAACCTTACTACTGAAATGTCATCCTAATTTCATTTCTGAATGGAAAATAATATTAATTTCTGTCCATATTATAATACTTATACTTATTAAGCTGTACACAACACTGTGGAAGTGTAAAACATTACGGGAAAGCACTTGTTACTTTGCTACCTGACTGCTGCTTGTTTTCGAAGTTATTATTTTCTCCGTATTTCTAAGTGTTAACTATCACCAGTCCCTGTTCTAAAGGTGTCCAACAAAATTAAGTCAAAACAGCCATAAAATATTTACACAGTTTGTAAAGGAAAAAACAAGTTACTAAGTTAAAAGCCTCTTTTAAAGAAATGTTTATGAACTTGAACCTTCAAGTATTATAAAAAGTTCACTCTCACTTACCCCCCACACCCCCTTTACCTTCACCTCCACCCAGGTAAAATCAGAGATTAACAATGTTTTAAGAGGACCACTCAATTTTCATGGACTCAAAATAAGATTCTTTGTGCTCCATGTTCAGGATTAAGAGGACTGCTTTAGTAATTATGGACCCACATCACAGATGACGTAAGACAAACTCCCCCTTTGTGACAACTGCTTATATGACTTTCAGAACAAATAAAAACAAGGGTCAATATTCTATCACAAATGTGTGGAGGATAGAGGACAAAGGATCACTACTTTCTACTTACCAGTACATGTTAAGTCAGTAACTTGGGCAGAGGAGGATCTGGACACCGCACGAGGAGTGTTTAGTATGAACTGAACTGGTTTCAGTTCAGAGGCTAGAGTGAGGAGGACTTCAATCCAATGCTACGAGCACATCAGTGTTCACACACATCACATTTTGTTCTCCCAGGCATTCCCCTCCCCCACTTAAAACAAAACAACCAAACCAAAAACAACAGCAATCCCCAATCTGAAAAAGTGTAGTCACACTGTTCAAAATCCACACCTTTGTAAACTCCGCCTACACAGTGCTGTGAGGAATCCAACAAATCCTGACCAGTAGGAAACTAGAAAGGAGACGGTGATTCAAAATTAAGAATACACCCTGCATCCGTAATACAAAGAAAATCATGCCCCACTACTTTGTCCTCTCCTCGCTCACAAAAGAATTACCTCAACACAGAAGCCCAGGTCCCATCCTGCGGCACAACTAAGCCAAGCAAAAGAGAGAGACTGTTTAGGATGTTCCATTTCAGCAGTCACAAAAGGGAGAGTGCAAAAGGAGAAGAAACCACTTCATTTCTAAACAGCCACACACGAAGCTTGTTGTGGCCGAGTTTAAACTGTCTTCTTTGCTATGTACCTTACTCCATTACTTATGAAGCTTCTAGAAATAAGGCAATTTTCTACTCTCTGGAGGCCTCGCCCACTCCCCTGCTATGCTGCTTTGAGTTACTTGGTATCATCCAAACAGAGCTAGAAGGAACCGGCCGAGTTCAGGAAGGCTCCAGCAGGGCTTTCAGAGCAGCCGCCTGGCGGACTCTGAATCTTCAAGAAGGGTCTTTAAATATTACCCTTCTTGAAGAAGAAGGGTAATATTTAAAGATCCCCCAGTTCACCAGAAGACATCTGACATCAAGTGATGGTAATTTACTTGGAAGGCGAAATCTGATTAAGAACCACAAGTAAAATGAGCTGGTTTGCACTATCCATTTCTTCTGTATGGCACTTTGTATTGTGCTCTGTTACATCTCCCTTAAAGGAAAATGTCCATTTAGTCCTGTACAAAAGTGATGGAGGAGTGGGGTGCAGGGGAGTGCATAGCAGTCTTTTCTCAAATTGCCAGAGGCAAACTGATTCAACTAGAAAAGGGTTAAATACTGTAAGAAATGATACCCCTCACCACCATTTAAATAAATCATTTTAATATTATAGCGACAGAACTTATTTTAGTAAGAACTCCTTTTGTTTTTTATATTTTTATTGACTCCAAAATTCAAATCTATAACAATGATATTAAATTTAGTCCTACGATGGACTCTGAAAAACAAACTGAGGGTTCTAGAGGGGAGGGGGGTGGGAGGATGGGTTAGCCTGGTGGTGGGTATTGAGGAGGGCACATTCT